GTATACACTTATTGTTACATAATTGTAATTATACTAATATTATGCTAATGATTAGCTTGATTACCATAATAATTATTAGTCAATTATAATATTATTTGTGTAATTATTAGCTTAATTATCATAATAATTATTAGATTCATATAGTAATAATTTGGGAGATATAAAAAAGCTTTTATATATATATATATATATATATATATATATATATATATATATATATATATATATATATATATATATATATATAAATTAAAATATTGAAGTATACAATTTAACTCATTTTCCAAAAAATGAACAAAAAACCAGTGTTGCAAAAATCACGCCTAGGCGCCCGCCGGCCGCCGCGAGGAAGGCCGGAATCGGCCTCCTCCGTGGACGGCCGGCTGAACCGGCATTGATTTTTTTAAAAAAAAAATTTTGTTGTAAAGTGCGAAAAGTTCGGGAAGACATAACTTTTGACTCGGTTGTCCGTTTTGGAAAAAAAAAATTTCAAATCGTGTATTTTTTTGAGATCTATATACTGGCGGTTTGGCCCTCTAATTTCTCCAAAAAATGCTTTTTTTGCTCTTATTTTTAATTTTTTATGTATTTAGATGGTTTCAATAATATTCTGAACGATTTTACAACCACTTACGTAAATAATTTGTAAGACAAAACTAGATGAACCTTATGTTTTATTAGTGAATTTTACAATTATTAAAAATATATATATATATATATATATATATATATATATATATATATATATATATATATATATATATATATAAATCGGCGCCTAGGCGCCCCCTTGGAAGTCCGTAGCTGATTCTTCTCTTTTTATTTACTGCTCGAATGATGTAATTGTATACTTTTTAGTCTACGTAGACGATATTATTCTGACAGGCAACAATGATGCGTTCATTAGTGCGTTTGTGGGTCGCCTTGCGCGTCGGTTTGCGCTTAAAGATTTGGGCCCGCTTCATCACTTTTTGGGTGTTGAAGTAGTTCCTACCACCAGAGGCCAGAGGTCTGTTTCTATTACAGTCTCAGTATGTGGTTGACGTTTTGGACCATTTTGGTATGACGGGGGCGAAAGAAGTGTCGACACCAATGAGTGCTTCTGTGGACTTGTGCGCTACTTCACCGGCCTTCGATGCCACCACGTTCGGCAAGCCATTGGCCGGTTGCAGTACTTGGCTATTACCAGACCGGAGATTTCGTTTGCAGTCAACCGGCTGGCTCAATTTATGTCTTCTCGCACTGAGCTCCATTGGCAATAGGTGAAACGAGTACTTCGCTATTTAGGGTACGTTACATCATGGGTTGCATTTTCGCAGGGGTCGGTCCCTTTCCTTGGTTGCCTATTCAGACTCAGACTGGGGTGGCACTCGTGATGGGAGCCGCTCGACTACCACCTATGTTGTTTATTTTGGTCCAAATGTTGTGTCCTGGAAGTCTGCTAAGCAACACTCTGTGTCTTAGTCCCTATGGAGGCAGAGTTTCGGGCTCTGGCTAATTCTGCTGCTGAAGTTATGTGGGTCCAAAGTCTGCTGTGTGAGCTAGGGGTTCGGTTACCATCTTCTCCCATTCTGTTACTAACAATTTGAGTGCTTCCTACGTGTGTAAGAACCCGGTTTTTCACTCGCAAATGAAGCATTTAGCTCTTGATTACTTTTTTGTCCGAGAACAGGTTACTTCTGGCTCGCTGCGAGTGTGCTACGTCAAGTCGTCTAACCAGGTTGCAGATCTTTTGACTAAGCCGCTTGGCAATCAGCTGTTTACTAAGTTCAGAACCAAGATTGGTCTCACCGATGGTGCCTCCATCTTGCGGGGGCGTGTTGAGACTTAGTTAGTGGCTGTTAATCTTTTGCCTAGTCTTCAGGGTTTTCTGTAACTAGTTTCCTGCTTCTATGCTTTATTCTCTATTTAATCCCGTTCTCAGTTATTGAAAAAATAAGTTCAGTTGTCACTCTCACACTCTGAATCTCCACTTTACCTTAACAGAAACCCAAAAAGAAAATCAAATCACAAAACATATATGGAGTAATTTTTATTATGAAGGGTTGACTTGGTTTGGAGTTTGGACCCATCATTTTAATAAGATTTGAAATGCCAGACAATTGATATCGCAAGAAGGTTATTATACATACAATCATATGGATAGTAATGCAAATGAGATAGACAAATCATAAAATTTAAGTTCCATCTCACCACTATAGCAGGTCATAGGAGATAAAACATGTAAATATTCTAACCAATACCAACAGGAAAAAAAACACACACAATTTAAATTGGATATATATTCAATATGCAGATCATGTGGAAAGTTGTATATTCCCTTTAAATAATGCCTTCTCATGAGAGCAAAAAAGAAATGAAGCATGTCCAATGCTCTATAAAGATTAAAAAAAAAAGAGTTAATTACCAAAATGGTCCCTTGACTATAGCGAAATTACCAATTTGGTCCTTGACTATTTTTTTAACCAATTAAGTCCCTCAACTTTAAAAACTTTAACCAATTTGGTCCTCCGTTTGTTTGACCGTTAGTCAACCGTTAACTTGGGACGAAATTGGTAATTTCGCTATAGTCAAGGGACCATTTTGGTAATTAACTTTAGGGGTGGGCAACTCGGTTTAGTTTTCTCGAATTGAACCGTATCGAACCGAACCGAACTGGTTTGGTTTGGTAATATACCGAACAACCGAACGATATTGGATTCTTGTATACCGAACGGTTCGATAAACAACTGATCCGAACCGATCCGAATTGTTCGATAAAAAATTGAACTGAACCGAATACCGTTTGATTTTTTTAAATATAATAATAATAATAATAATAATAATAATAATAATAATAATAATAAATAAATAAATAAATAAATAAATAAAAAGTAAATCCAAGTCCCTTGCTACTTGCTCTACCGTTCGGTATACAAGAATCTATAACCATTCAATTTTTCGGTATACTACCGAATATAATCTAACTAGTTTGGTACGGTTCGGTTTGAGAAAACTTAACCGAATTGCCCACCCTTAAAGTTAATTACCAAAATGGTCCCTTGACTATAGCGAATTACCAATTTGGTCCCAAGTTAACGGTTGACTAACGGTCAAACAAACGGAGGACCAAATTGGTTAAGATTTTTAAGGTTGAGGGACTTAATTGGTCAAAAAAATAGTCAAGGACCAAATTGATAATTTCGCTATATTCAAGGGACCATTTCGGTAATTAACTCTAAAAAAAAATAGCAACCTGACAAAATCTCCCTTTACAGAATATTGGATACTTATATTCCCCATGATTAGCCCACACTGCACATAAAATTGAAGGGTAAAAAGAAAACAGAAGAGTGTGTAGGGGCATAAAAAGGAAGAAAAAGAGATATAATGCATGCTGAATATCTTATAAGGTAATGAACTTTCTATACCAACGGCAAAAACAGTCTATACATTGGAAAAAAACCATAATCATAATAATTGCTTGATATACTCACAGATTTTGATAGAATATATTTACGCATGGAGTATTTGTAGTGCCAAATAAAATATATTGTCCTATTGTACGAATATGAATTTTAATGTAGAATTATTGTACAAATAAGAAAGAAAAATTTTAATGTAAAATTATAGTACAATATGAAAGTGTAAAATAATATATTCTATTATATTAAGAGTTATATTAGAATGTTTTCTCTCCCTCTGCGTAAGGGATTCCCTCGTTTCTCTCCCGTAATTAGGGTTTTAGAATTTTCCTTCTCCGATCGTAAAACAGGTCGACACAGTATAACGCTACAGGATCACGCTCGGCAGACCCGTCTAGGGGATTCGCTCTTGATCTCCTGTGTTTAGGTTTCTTCTTGTTTCCGTTCGCAGAGCAGATTCCGGCTGTTTGTTTACGCAAAACAGACTCGTGCGGCAAGCTACTGGTGCGCAGATATGGCTGAGTCTGAAGAGGTCATGGCGGGGCTGACGAACCGATGGGCTGATATTGTATTGGAGGATGAGGACGCCGGTGTTGAGGCGCCGGCGGTCGACGATAGCGCAGCGGCGATCGCGGAGTCTTGGATGGTGGTTGGACGCTTCTTGACTCAACGTTTGATTAAGGTTGAGTATATGCGTCAGGTTATGGCCTCGGCATGGAAACCGGTTAGTGGGGTGCATATCACGGAGCTACAACCAAATCTATTCCAGTTTGTTTTCCATCATATAACGGATGTCCGGAGGGTTATGGATGAGGGGCCGTGGTTTTTTGAAAATTGTACACTCTTGTGTAAGGAGGTGAAGGATGGTCAGTTGCCGGAGGACATGGTGCTTGATACTGTGGATTTATGGGTGCAGGTATATAATCTACCGGTTGGATATAATACGGTACCGGTTCTTGAACAGACAGGGAATTTTCTGGGGAAGTTTCTAAAAATTGATGAAAGACAGATGAAGGGACCCCTCAAAACATTCTACCGAGTTAGGGTTTGTATGCCTGTGGATAGACCTCTGAAAAGAAGGATGAAGTTGATTCGGCGGGACAAGTCTTGGGGATGGGTGAACTTCAAATATGAGAGACTGCATACTTTCTGTTTTTTCTGTGGACTCTTAGGGCATTCGGAAAAATTCTGTTTGAAAGCTAGAAACTCGACATTGACTCCTGAGCAATACCCTTATGGTGTATGGATGAGAGCGGGTCAAGCAAGAGGACCACGGCCAGTCGGAGAATCGTGGTTACTAAACTCGGATGACTCGCCGATCCGTAATGTGGCAGTGGGTGGGGCACCAGTAAACCCGGGTGGTACTGAACAGGCACACGGCCGAGCTGAGGAGGAGGAGGAAGGGGTAACGGCATTGGCTAAACGGCGTAGACAGGATAATGGACAGTTGACTGATACAGATATAAACATGGCAGAAAGTTCAAAAAACTTGCTTCAGGCGGGATCTGGTTCCCAGACCCGCCCACAACAATGAGTACTCTGAGTTGGAACTGTCGTGGCTTGGGCAATCCACGGACAGTTCGCGCGGTAGTGGACATGGTGTCCAAGAAGAAGCCTGATTTTGTATTTCTGATGGAAACGAAGGTGCCACGAATACATGCCGAACGTGTTCGTGTTACGATTGGGTACGAGGGCCTTTTTTATGTTGATAATACGGGCCGTAGTGGTGGATTAGCATTACTTTGGAGAAAGAACAACACTGCAAGATTACTGGGTTACTCGAAGACACACATTGATGTTGAGGTTAGTATTACTGGTCTCCCGAACTGGAGAATGACTTGTTATTATGGCTATCCAGAACGAACACGAAGAACTGAGTCATGGGACCTATTGAAACGGTTGGCAACACAGTCTAAGCTACCTTGGGTTTTGATAGGTGATTTTAATGATCTCCTGTATCAGTATGAGAAGAAAGGTGGAAACCCACACCCGAATAGACTCTTACGCGGCTTTGGAGAGACTATTGATCAGTGTGGTTTAGCACAGTTACCAATGAGTGGTAACCAGTACACATGGCAGACGGGCAGAGGCACTCCAGGATGGATCCAGGAAAGACTAGATAAGGTATTAGTCACTACCCCCTGGAGAGATATTGTTAATGGGGTCACGGTTACAAATCAATGGACAAGACGATCAGATCATTCAGCTATTTTCATGGGGATTCGGTGGTATGGAAACGGAAGGGGCGGGGGCCGGAGATTCCGCTTTGAGATGGCATGGCTCTATGATGAGGGATGTAGAGCAGTTGTGGCTGAATCATGGGAGGAGGGAAGGAGTAGGGGTGCACAGAGTTGTATTGCGCACTGTGGAAAGCGGTTAACCCGATGGGGGGGAGATCGTTACCATAAGTTTGGGGAAAAGATTGAACAGCTCCGAAAACGACAAGATCAACTTAAGGGATGTATTGATCAAGCATCCCTGGATGAGTACAATAGATTAGAAGCGGAGTTATGCAGAGTGGAGATGCAGGAGGATGCATACTGGAAGCAGAGGGCCAAACAGCACTGGCTCAAGGATGCTGATGCCAACACAAAATTTTATCACAGGTATGCCTCGAACCGAAGAAATAAGAATGCTTTATTTAAAATTATGGATAGACATGGTCAGTGGGTGGAAGGGGATGATATGACGAGTGTGGTTCTGGATTATTTTAAGCACATTTTTACAACTAGTAATCCTATGAGCGGTGATCTGATTTATAGCAATATTACTCCACGAGTGACTCAGGCACAGAATGAGTTATTAATGCGGCCCTTTGAGGTTGGTGAGGTGAAAGATGCTCTATTTGAAATGTATCCTGATAAGGCACCAGGGCCGGATGGGATGAACCCAGGTTTTTATCAAAGTTTTTGGGATATTGTGGGAGGTGATATTTCGGTCTTTATTATAAACTGTCTGAATGAAGGATCAATTCCGCCTGGTCTAAATAATACTGATGTTGTGCTAATCCCTAAGAAAGATGTTCCTGAGCAGGTCTCTGATTTGAGACCAATTGCACTTAGCAATGTAATTTATAGGATTATGGCCAAAATGATTACCCGGAGGATGAAACCCCTAATGGATAGTGTTATATCTGAGTCCCAGAGTGCATTTATACCAGGCAGATTGATAACAGATAATATTTTGATTGCCTCAGAGGTAGGCCATTATTTGAACAGGAAACAGTGTGGAGCAGTTGGTTGGAGTGCCTTAAAGCTGAATATGGCAAAGGCCTATGACCGGATGGAGTGGCCGTTCTTGAAAGGTATGATGGGGGCCCTGGGATTTAATGATAAGTGGATTGATCTTATTATGATGTGTGTTACGACCGTATCCTATAGTTTCCTGGTAAATGGGACACGAAGTGATTCACTAATACCAACTAGGGGCTTGAGGCAAGGGGATCCGTTGTCTCCGTACCTTTTCATAATTTGTGCTGAAGGGCTCTCGATGTTGTTACAACAAGCACAAGGAAGGGGTTTAATACATGGATGTAGAGTAGCAAGGGGTGCCCCGCCTATCTCACATCTTTTCTTTGCTGATGATAGCTTATTATTTTTTAAAGCAACTGTGCAGGAGGCAAATGAAATTAAAGCATGTCTGGCTCTATATGAAAATCTGTCTGGGCAAGCTGTTAATTACCATAAATCCAGTATATGTTATAGTAAGAATACGACAGAGGTGACCAAGGAAAATGTGGCGCAAGTTTTGGGGGTGGTCCAAACACCTAACTATGGGAAATATCTTGGGTTGCCATCTTTTATTGGAAGAAATAAGAAAGCGGCATTTGCTTATATAGAGGACAAGATAAGGCAGAGAATAGGATCTTGGAATAAGAAACTATTGTCACAGGCAGGGAAGGAGGTCTTATTGAAAAGTGTGGCTCAGGCTATGCCTACTTTCTCAATGAGTGTTCTCTTGTTACCTACTGCTATCTGTACGGCTATTGAGAGATTGATGAATAGATACTGGTGGGGCTCAGGGACTGACCGAAAAATCCATTGGAAGGCCTGGGATAAGTTATGTATTCCAAAGAAATTTGGTGGATTGGGTTTTAAAGATTTAAGGGCTTTCAATGTGGCACTATTGGGAAAGCAAGCTTGGAGACTTTTGACTAATACAGATTCTCTAGTTTCAAAAGTTTATAAGGCAAGATATTACCCGAAACAACATTTTACTGATGCGATGCTTGGGAGCAACCCAAGTCACTGTTGGCGGAGCATTATGGCGGCGAAGAGCTTAATTTGTAATGGGGTAAGAAGACGAATTGGGAACGGAAATTCTACCTTGGTATGGGGACACCCATGGTTGCAAGATGAGGACCCTATGATCCAAACAGAAATGCCACCCCAACTGAGTGATGCCAGGGTAATCAATTTAATTGACCAGGATACAGGCACTTGGGATTATGATCTGCTTACTGATATTTTTGGGCCCAATGATGTGGCTAGAATCCTAAAAATACCAGTCTCCCCAGAGTATGAGGATATGTGGTACTGGCATGGCGACCCTAAAGGCAACTATACGGTTAAACATGGGTATAAATGTATGTTGGGGAATTATGAGAATATGGCAAATGGGGGTTTCACGAAATGGCTAACATTGTGGAAACAAAAAATACCACCCAAATGGAAAACTTTGTTATGGAGGGCTTTGAGTGATATTCTTCCTACTACCAATAACTTGCTTATAAAGAGGGTGGAGGTTGATCCGGTGTGTGCCATGTGTGGAGTTGCAAATGAGAATATCATGCATGCATTGGTTTTGTGTGACTATGCAAGAACCATTTGGACACTATCTAACCTTCCATCTATAAGTATTGTGACAAATATTTTTTATGAATGGTTTAGTGCAATGTTAAATATTTTAGATTCTGATGGTATTGCCTACGCAGCTGCAATTATTTATCATTTATGGAAGGCTCGGAATGGTGCGGTTTGGGATGCATATTTGCCCAGACCACGACGATTGCTCGCCGCGGCCCAGGCCGAGATAGCTGCGTGGCGCCGTGTACATGCACCAAGAGAAGGAAACTATACTGCTATGCCAAGAACCCACGAAACTGCCGCCCCACTGCCTATCCACGTAGCTGCTGCCCAACCGGCACCAATACACGGCCCAGTGGCCAGTATGGCTTACGGAACTGGCAACATGCATACGGAGACTCACGGCCCAGCACAGCTATACCCCAAATGCTATGTCGATGCTGGATATCACCATACGGACAATGCATCAACGGTAGGAGCAGTATTAATTGGCCCGGATGGTTGTTTTATGTCGGCATATGCCGCACCTTTGCCACATTGCTTTTCCCCACTAATGGCGGAGGCATATGCTTTGAAGGAGGCCTTATCTTGGCTACGCGAACGAGGAGAACAAAATGTTGAGCTTTATACAGATTGCCAGATGTTACAGAGTTATATAACCACGCCGCAACTGAGCACACGATCATATACTGGCTATGCTATTGATGGATGCAGGAACTTATTATCTATGTTTAATTATAGTCAGGTTAATTTCATTATTAGATCGCAGAATTTATTAGCGCATAGTTTAGCTTCTACAGCTTTCCAGTATGACACAGCTATGTATTGGGATATTATCCCACCTGATGCTATTACAGCTTATCTATGAATACAACCCATTGGTTGACCTTAAAAAAAAAAAAAAAAGAGTTATATTAGAATATGAATTTTAACTTAGAATTATAATACGAATATGAAAATAGAAAACAATATATTTTATTAGAAAACGGGGGTTTTTTTTTTTATTGTTATTGTTATTATTATTAGTATTATTATAAATTATAAATTTTATTTTATTATTGCATAATAATAATAATAATAATAATAATAATAATAATATTATTATTATTATTATTATTATTATTATTATTATTATTATTATTATTATTATTATTATTAATGACCTTATATGTCTTTTTATATTTAACCGTCAATAGTAAAAAGTTAATTTTAACAAACATCTTTTTACAACTCGCTAATGCAATCCGCTGGTCAAACCCGCTAACACAATTCGCTATTCGTTAACCGCCAACCGCTAACCGCTAACCGCAAATTATCAAACAAAGCCGAAGTGTATAAATAGGAAAAAGGAATTCATCTTTATGCAAATAAATTAAGGAATCCATATTTACGCAAATAAATTGAAAAAGAAATCTTCAATAATTACTATTACACAAAATAGTATTCTGCGTGTGTAGAATTCAAATTATTATTATTATTGATATAAAATCAATATTAGAATTATTATTATTTGTATAAATAATAATTAATAAATTATTATTTCCTTATAAAATTACACAGAATTTTCAAAGAATTTTTTCATTTCTTATGCAGAATTTATTTCCATTATTCTCACAATTATAATGGTTTAGTTATTCTTAGAATTTGGTACCAATTTTCATTTTTAAGTATATATTGACTTTAATTTTTGGTAACAATTCATTAGATATTAATTAATTTCCATATAAATTTTTTTTACCAATTAAACTTTATTAATATTATAATTAATATTCATATTAGTTTTAGCATGCAAGGTGAAGATGAAGATTTTACTTTTATTAATAGTATATATCATCATCATCATCGTCTTGGAGATCCTAACAACTAGTCATAACTCATTTTCGTGTGTTTGTCTAGCTTAACACGAATTACAGAGGAGTTATGGCAACTCTCATCTAGGACGAAAGCAGCGATCGAAAAAGCTAATAGTTAGGGGTCTACTTTGTATATCACACTTAAATGAAATTAAATGAAAGCTATGACCCAAATCCAGAGATTCTTTAGTGTGTATCTGTTGGTCCCGATAGAATGTAGCGAGAGTCTAGAGAGTGGGGGGGGGGGGGTGAATAGACTCTTTTCGTGAAATGCCCTAAAAGTCACCTTTCGGTGTTTTGGCACAGCAGAAAAGTCAGATTCGTTTTAAATGCTTTGCACGAGTTTACGATATTAGGAAAGCTTTCGTTAAGGGTGATAATGAGGATGATATGAATGCAGAAATAAAATGCATAAGTAAAGAGATAAAAGGGACAAGAGATTTTATAGTGGTTCGGCTAACATTGCCTACTCCACTCTTCTTCCACAACTGATGGAAGGATTGCACTATCACTCTTTAGTACAATTACACAAAGACCTCCTTGATCACTAAGCCGGACAGCCTTCGTAGGTTTTTCAACTTCTCGAGTTTACTCCGCCTCAATCAACTTCTTCTTCAGAGTTGAGGTTGGTAGAAAATGATTTCTTGATTTCTCCAACGTGATGAAGTCTTGACAGTGAGAGATGATTGCTTTGAACAAATGGCAAGACTTCTTTAAGGTGTAAGAAAATGATCAATAATCTTCTTCAAGTAACTTAACACCTTAACACTGGTTCACAAAAGCTTTTGGAGATTTGAGAGAGTTCAAGAGCTTTTGCAAGTGAATGAGTCGAGTGAAAATGAACCAGCACCTTCTTAGTTGATGAATGTGGGTTTATATAGGTGATGAAAATTCATCCGTTGGAGGGAGATGAGATTTTTGAACCTTTTACCCAGTGGACAAGGACCGGGGAGCCTCATGCATTAAATGCTTCATTAATGAGGTTATACCATGTAGCCGTTGAAGATATGGAAAGCATTAGGGTTTTGTCCTTTAGCTCCAGGAGATGGTACACCTTCATTTAATGCTCTTTGATAAGTGTGTCCCATAAGATGAGGTCCTTATTGTCCTAGGATGTTGTCAAATCAGACAGGTAGAACATTCTTCTCGTTATTGAAGAGAAGTAATGCTTGGTAAGAATCGTCTTTAACAAAACTGTCCTTTCGTGATGGTTGACAACTCCTGCTTTACTTTCGTTGTTGTTCATCATGCCTTGTGTCTTCTTTCGTCTTGGAGATCCTAACAACTAGTCATAACTCATTTTCGTGTGTTTGTCTAGCTTAACACGAATTACAGAGGAGTTATGGCAACTCTCATTTAGGACGAAAGCAGCGATCGAAAAAGCTAATAGTTAGGGGTCTACTTTTCTACAATACATTGGTATCATCAAAATCCTAATACAAGGTTCCTAACAGTATCACACTTCAATGCTTGAGTTCATTGCCAAAGCATAACTCTGAATCTCCACTTTACCTTAAAAGAAACCCACAAAGAAAATCAAATCACAAAACATATATGGAGTAATTTTTATTAGAAGGGTTGACTTGGTTTGGACCCATCATTTTAATAAGATTTGAAATGCCAGACAATTGATTTCGCAAGAAGGTTATTATACATACAATCATATGGATAGTAATGTTGTTAGTGTTACTATTATTATTATTATTATTTCATTATGTAATATAGTTTATATTTGTGTGGTCCTAGAATTAGTCTTGTACAGCTAGTCTACTTGTCAGGAGAGATTAGTGGTAGGATTAGATATACACTTCTGTATTCTCTTTCTGTTGAAACTGAATGAGATAATTGTTCTAATCTGGTATCAGCCTAACCGATCCTTCTGATCGCTTCTCGCTTGCCAAACCACCACCTTTCTTCTCCGATTCCCACCACCCAAAAGCCGCCATGTCATCCCGGTCCTCCGATCAGCCCTCCTCCGCCGGCGGTGCACCAACCCCGGCCGGTAACAATCCCCTCCAAGGCGCGCACCATTTTATTTCTATGAAGTTAACAAGCCGAAATTTTCTCTTTTGGAGAACTCAGCTACTGCCGTTTCTCTGTGGGCAGGACCTTATTGGGTTTGTGGACGGCTCCACTCCTTGCCCATCTCCGACGATCGCCGCCACACCCGCCGGCGAGTCAGGCTCCGACGCCACCTCGGTTGATCTGGTTCCCAACCCGGCGTACAAAGTGTGGGTGCAGCAGGACCAGGCAATCCTTTCTCTCCTCATATCGGCGATGTCTGATGAGGTACTCCACCTCGCCGTTGGACGGAACACTGCTGCGGACGTTTGGCGTTCCATTTGCACCGCTCTCGGCTCAAACACTCAGGCCCGATGCCTCAACTTGTTGAACCAATTTCAGACGATGCGACAAGGCAACGCGTCTCCGGCGGAATTCCTCGGACGAGCAGAGCTTCTTGTCGAAGCACTTGCTCAGGCCGGCCAGCCTCTCTCGTTGGGAGAGCAGAACCTGTACGTTCTGCGCGGGCTCCGTCCTGAATACCGCACCTACGCTGCATCGCTCACCGCCACCACTCCTCTCACCCTACCGCAAATGGCAGACCATCTCCAGGCTGCGGATTTCTTTCTTGCTGATGATTACGGATCATCAGTGGCAGATGGTGTCGCTGCCGGCTCTCACACGGCGCTGTTCGCTGGCCGTGGGCGTGGAGGCAGTACGTCGCACGGTGATGGGGGTCGCCGAGGCAGCAGGGGTGGCCGGAACAATAACCACGGCCGGGGCGGTCGAGGCGGTAGAGGTGGTCCACGGTGTCAAATATGCCGCTCCCACGGGCATACGGCAATCTATTGCTTCAAGAGGTACACCACACCACCACCGCCGGCGCAGGCCAATGTGGCCGTTTCCACTGATCCCGCCGCGGCACAGGTATCTCCGGCGGATTCTTGGTATCCCGACACCGGGGCATTTGCACATGCCACTCCTGATGCTGCTATGTTAAACAATTCGGAGGAGTATGTTGGCCAGGACACGCTACGCGTAGGAAACGGTACAGGTTTGGCTATCTCGCGGATTGGTCATGCATCTATTCCATCCGTGTCAAAACAGTTGGTCATGTCAAATGTGTTACACGTTCCCAAATTAACCGTACCTTTACTTTCTGTGCAAAAATTTGCTAGAGATAATCATGTTTATTTTGAATTTCATGATAATTCTTTTTCTGTGAAGGATTCCAAAACCAAGGTCACGCTCCTTAAAGGTCCAACCTCGGGCGGTCTGTACAAATTACCCGTGTCACGTTCCCACTTCGCGTTTGTGAGTTCCCGTGCTACGCCGGCTGTGTGGCATCGCAGGCTCGGTCACCCGCATAGTGTGGTCCAAAATAAAGTCCTTCAGAACTGCTTCGTTCAGGAAAATAAATCTCAAGAGTTGGGGTCGTGTATAGCTTGTCATCTCGGCAAGTCCTCCCGTTTCAAACTAGATAGAGTTCAAGATTCTAGTCATCATGTATTAGACCTTTTGTTTACAGATATCTGGGGCCCTGCTCCTATAGTGTCAAGTAGTGGATGTTGTTATTTCGTTTTATTTGTTGATGACTTCACACGTTTCACCTGGTTTTATCCATTACGGGTAAAATCAGATATCTATAAAATTTTTGATGCGTTTCGTTTGTTGGTAGAGCGACAGTTTTCGCGCTCTATCAAATCAATTCAGTCAGATTTAGGGGGTGAATACCGCAAGTTACATACCACTTTTCAAAACTTGGGTATTGAACACCGGCAGTCATGTGCTTATACACATGAACAAAATGGAAAAGTTGAGCGCCGTAATCGACACATTGTCGAAACGGGCTTAGCGCTTCTTGCTCAAAGCTGCGTACCGCAACAATATTGGGACTACGCGTTTGAAACTGCCACCTGCCTAATCAACTATCTCCCCACCTCGGTCTTAAAGTTTCAAAGTCCATATTATCGTCTCTACCAAAAATCTCCACACTATGAATTCCTTCGTGTCTTCGGGTGTCAATGTTACCCTCATCTGCGGCCTTATAATTGCCACAAGATAGAGTACCGTTCCACCCCATGTGTCTTCTTAGGTTACCCACCGTCCTATAGGGGATATAGATGCATGGATCCAGTCAGTGGGAAAACCTATATCTGCCGCCATGTGCGGTTTGACGAGAATGTTTTTCCCTTTGCAACAGGTTCAATACAGCAGGACTCTACACCTGCAGCTCCTCCTTGGGCTTCAGCACCCATATCACCTGTGCAAGCTCAACAAATTGTACCAACACTGGGTCCAATTCCGGACCCTGAGCCTGTTCCATTGGCTCAAGAGGCACCCTTATTGGCCATTGAGTCAAATGCTCCTAGGCGGACCAGGAAGCGAGCCACGGTCCCACCTTCGGCTATGCGCCTAAGGCATATGACCCGGGGTACTAATGAAGAGTTTCATGCCCTAACGGCGACAACTGATCCAACGTGTTACTCCCAGGTTGTGGGACATCCACAGTGGCGTGATGCAATGGATCAAGAATTCAATGCCCTCCTGTATAACAACACTTGGCGATTAGTACCACCGGACCCTACCATGAACATTATTGGTTGTAAATGGGTTTTCCGTACTAAACGCACCGCGGATGGCTCGGTTGAACGCTATAAGGCTCGTTTAGTAGCCAAAGGCTTCAATCAAGTCGCAGGGGAGGACTTCTTCGACACCTTCAGTCCAGTTGTCAAACCCACTACTGTCCGCATATTATTCTCTTTGGCTATCTCGCACAAGTGGACTCTACGTCAGTTAGATGTCCACAACGCTTTTCTTAATGGCCATCTAGCTGAGACAGTTTACATGAAGCACAACCGGTTCATCCTGATCATGTCTGTCATCTACAGCGCTCGCTCTATGGGCTTAAACAGGCCCCGCGTGCGTGGTTCAAAAGACTACACGACTATTTGTTGTCTGCAGGGTTTTTCTCATCCAAGACTGATGTGTCATTATTTTACCACTCAACGGGTGCATCTAAAGTTTTTCTCCTCGTCTATGTGGACGACATCATCATGATGGGCAGTGATGCAGATATGGTCGAGTCTTTGTTACGCCGTTTAGCCACCGCGTTCAAAGTTCGTGACCTCGGCACCCCAGGGTTCTTTTTGGGCATAGAGACGATTGCAGCAGGTAACAATATGATTCTCTCTCAGCGGCGGTACATGATCGATATCTTGGGTCGTTCTGGAATGTCGGACTGCAAGCCGCTCACTACACCGGCTTCGGTTACTCAGGCTGTGACTCCGTCTGAGCAGCATTTTGAGAACCCTACGCAGTATCGACGTATCGTCGGGGCACTTCAGTATCTGACTATCACTCGGCCAGATCTAGCCTATGCAGTTAATCGCCTGTGTCAGTTTATGCACTCTCCGACTGACGATCATTGGGCAATGGTGAAGCGTGTGTTACGGTATATCAAAGGCACTCTGGGTTACGGTCTGCGGCTAACTCCCTCCGACTCAAGTGCCATCCACGCCTACTCTGACTCTGACTGGGCTGGATGCCCGGTAGACAGGAAAAGCACCAGTGGCTATGCTGTTTTTTTGGGAAGTAATCTGGTCTCCTGGTTATCTCGGAAACAGCGCACCGTAGCTCGTTCCTCCACTGAGGCAGAATACAAAGCTCTAGCCGATGTCGCGGCCGAAGTCACCTGGATTGTTTCTCTGCTCCGTGAACTTGGGCTACACACTGGACATCTCGCTAGCTTATGGTGTGACAATTTAGGTGCAACTTATCTGTGTGCGAATCCTGTTTTTCATGCCCGGACGAAGCATGTCGAGATAGATTATCACTTTGTGCGTGACAAGGTAGCCTCGGGTGACTTCGTGGTGAACTTCATCTCCACCAAAGATCAACTAGCTGACGTTCTTACCAAGCCTAGCTTTACCAGGACCCCGGTTTGCGGCTCTGCGGGACAAGCTCAATGTTGTCAACCACGAACCTTGTGCTTGAGGGGGTGTGTTAGTGTTACTATTATTATTATTATTATTATTATTATTATTATTATTATTATTATTATTATTATGTAATATAGTTTATATTTGTGTGGTCCTATAATTAGTCTTGTACAGCTAGTCTACTTGTCAGGAGAGATTAGTGGTAGGATTAGATATACACTTATGTATTCTTTTTCTGTTGAAACTGAATGAGATAATTGTTCTAATCAATGCAAGAGAGACAGACCAATCATAAAATTTAAGTTCCATCTCACCACTATAGCAGGCCATAGGAGATAAAACATGTAAATATTCTAACCAATACCAACAGGAAAAAAAAAACAAACACAATTTAAATTGGATATATATTCAGTATGCAGACCAAGTGGAAAGTTGTATATTCCCTTTAAATAATGCCTTCGCGTGAGAGCAAAAAAGAAATAAAGCATGCCCAATGCTCTAAAAAGATTTTTAAAAAATAGCAACTTGACAAAATCTCCCTTTAAAGCGAGGAGTACCAGAATATTGGATACTTATATCATCATCTCCATGAATCCATGATTAGCCCACACTGCACATAAAATTGAACGGTAAAAAGAAAACAGAAGAGAGTGTAGGGGCATAAAAAGGAAGAAAAAGAGATAAAATGCATGCAGAATATCTTATAAGCTAATGAACTTTCTATACCAACGGCAAAAACAGTCTATACATTGGAAAAAAGCATAATCATAACAATTGCTTGATATACTCACAGATTTTGATAGAATATATTTACTCATGGAGTATTTGTAGTGCTAGATAGAATATATTGTCCTATTGTACGAATAGGAATTTTAATGTAGAATTATAGTACGAATAGAAAAGTGTGAAATAATATATTCTATTAGGAATTATATTACACTTTTTTTATTCCTAGATCAGAAAGTTATTTAGCTCATAGTTTAGCTTCTTCTGCTTTTATACACACTGCAACTATGTATTCGGACTCTGTCCCTCCAGATTCCATTGCGGAATATTTTGAATAAATGCCATGTTGGCTCCTTTCAAAAAAGATTACACTTTTTTTTTTTTTAATAATATTAGAATATGAATAGAATATGAATAGGAAAGTAGAAAAAATAATATTTTATTAGAAAATCAGATTTTTTATGAATTGGACGGGAAGTTAAAGTTTAGGATTTTTTGTTTGTATATAGTACAAAGTATAAATATATAGGATGCCCTTAGCTGCATACACGGCATGCAAATGGGCTTATCTAAGATAGTCTTCTTCCTGGTAGCAGGTATCCACACCACAGACTCGTGTATTTTGTTTTATTTATATATTTTTTGGTTGCATCTTTGGCGGATTGATCTGATCTAATCAATTTGTATTCATGTGTTAGGGTACACTGTATTCATGTGTTAGGGTACACTACTGCCGTGCTTCTGCACGGTAAATTGTCAGATGTGCTGGGCCAATTTCAGGTCCTTAAATTTTTCTGCGCTTTCTGCGGTGATTGAATCTACTCTTTGATTAGTTAGCTTCATGTTATTGTCATTACATGGGTTGAATGCTGTAATTGCATTCATAGAAATACTAAAAATAAAACATTCGATCAAACAAAGGATTTGATATGATTCCTGCATTCCTATTTCTTAAATTTAACGTTATTGCTTTGTAGGTCCGATGGTTTGCTATGGAGGTTCAATCAAGGGCCTCCCCACGACTAATCACGGTTCTCAATGGGGTCTCCCCACGACTAATCACGGTTCTCAATGGGGTTTTAATGGTATTTTTGTTTATACAAGATTAATTGATAAAGTTGGCCCATCTTACTTTATCTTATATAAAGTGAAGTCTAAATAGACTGACTTAACCATTTTTTAAAATTTATATGTTTGACCTAACTCTATTTCTATTGCACACTCTGTTAGATAACATAGCAAATCTGGTGGTTCTAGCTGCTGTATGATGGGCCCTGAGTTATGGATACATGTGGTGGATGGTGAATTCTTCAAGTTCTCTATTTACTTGGCTGGGCCCTGAGTTATGGATACATGTGGTGGATGGTGAATTCTTCAAGTTCTCTATTTACTTGGCTAGGATATTTAAGCTTTTAAATGCTTAGTTCTCATGTGCATATTATACCTTTATGCCTCAACTAAATACCCCTTAAAAGAGGAGAAACAATAAACTTTTCAGTTATCTACCGGAAGATGTTAAAGTTTTCTTGCCCCTGAATTGTGTTCAATGACTTGTATTCTAATTTCATGTCTATGTGGTAGGCAACAAAGAGGCATTTGAGAATGTAGAAACGAAAATGGGACAAATTGAGATATCAAACAGATCCGAACTGAGGTAAACTCAAAGTAATTCTTATTTTCCATTCACATGATGGATTTTGGTTTAAGTGAATTAATTCATGCTATTCTTAACATGAACATATTAGTGAAGGATCCAGATTGTGATTGATGTCTTAAATAAAATGAGAAAATGAATTTATATTCCAAATACTATTAAGCATATTTTATCATATATTTTCCAACCAAATGATGTGCCAAGAATTTTAAATATCCCGATCTCGCAGGAGTACGAGGATATAATACTGGTTTTGATAAGTGGCAAACTCTATGGAAATTGAAAATCCCCTAAGTGGAAGACATTTCTATGGAAAGCTTTGGGTGATATATATCCTCCCTACTACAAACAATTTGCTTATAAAGAGGGTGGAAGTTAGCCCAATATGTGCCATGTGTGGAGTTATGGATGAGAGCACAATGCATGCATTAGTGTTGTGTGACTATGCTAAGTCCATTTGGGATCAATCTAACCTTCCACTTCCCCATTTTGTAACGAATATTTTCCACGAATGGTTTAGAGTAATCCTAAATGTTCTAGATGCTAATGGGATATTGTTTGCAGCTGGGATATTATACAACATTTGGAGAGCCCGGAACGATGCTGTTTGCAGCTGAGGCTTTTAATCACAATACGACTATGTACTAGGATGCTATCCCACCTGACTCAATTTTGAGTTACGTATAAATATAACCACATTGGTTTTTCAAAAAATAACCAAATTTTGGAATGATGTTCGGGGTGATCTTTCTCAAATTGGTTTACTAATTACTGCTATTACAACTATGGCAACAGGAGTTTTCACATGCTTGTGTCATGTATCTCTGTGGCATTTTTCAAAGAGTAAAAATGTCTGAAAAAGTCCAAGTTTGTACAAATTATTTTTAACAGAAGTGAAATTTTACATTTTTTATGTTTATCTTTTTTGGATGGGTGGTGCTTTTGCATTACAGTTTGGGTAAATACAAAAATCTTTATAGTCAGTGGTGTTGAAAACTAAAAATCTTTAATTTCATGGAAAATAGATTTCTTATAATCCTCACTCATCCATGCTTTTAAATTCTTATTGTTGAATTATTGTATGCTTGATATCACGTAATCTATGTGTTTCTTTCTACTTCCTTTTTCAGGAACAGCTCCGTTTTGATGGATAGATGAACTTTCTTGTGTTTACAAACTGAACTCCTACTGTCTATAGCATAGGCAAGTGACCCATAGAACCATGTGGCCATGTGACCATGGCATCAGCTAGCTCTGCAACTTATATTCGAGCAATTTATCGCTTTAATATGTAACCTCCCGTTTGGAGATCGACAAAAGTGTTATTGAACTACAAGTTACTTGGCATTTGTAAATATGTTATATCTAGTTTTCTTTGTGTTGTACTTTATTTTAGAATATTTTTCTAGGAGTGAAGGACAAATAAAATTGGGGTGGTGCAATCAAAGCAGCCCATTCTTGGGAACATTAGGCTGAAACCAAAGCTAAAAACTCACGGGGTTTTGCAGCATTTGTCCAATCAAAATTCTTTACCAAATCTCTAGTACCCTTAGAGTATCCACACTAGAGCATAATTCCAAGTTATTTGTACATAAATCTCTCAAGCCCAAATTCAAATCTGATGTGAGTGTGAGTTATTTGAGAAATCATCCTCCTCCAAAGAAGATAATAATGTCAGGGAGAAAAGAAATAAAGAAAGAATGCAGTGGCCGCTAGCTGGGCAATTGAGGTTTTTTTTTTTTTTTTTTTTTTTTTTTTAACTTCATATCGCAGGCATGCAGTATACATGCATCTTTTTTGTTTTTAACATTTAATTTATTTTTTTTATTGTTTTATTATTTATATTTTAAATTTTAAATTTTTCACAAATTTCAGAAATTCTCATTTGCAAATTTTTCACATTTAAAATTTTCTATTTGCAAATTTGTTTTTTTTTTTATTGTTTTATTATTTACAAATTTTTTCACATCCATCTTTTTTGTTTCATTTGCAAATCCAGTAGGCATGTTTCACTATTTTTTATTAAAATTATAAATTTATAAATAAAATAGATAAAAAATAATTAAAATATAGTGGGTTAAATGGTGGGTCTGAAATAACTTAAAATTGATGTGGAGAAGAGTTTTTTGTGATTGACTGAGATGCAGGAAGGGACGTAATAAGTGAACTGCCAGTAGAAGGGAAGGAAATTATAGGATTTTGGAGTGCTTTCCTACTCGAGACGCTGCCAGAACTGCTTTGCTCTCTACTCACTGGAATGAGGTTTGGCTGCGGCATGGGCATCTTGTGTTTTTTTGAAAACCAAAAATAGCACTGCATTAATCAGATGTTAAATACAACTCGGAATAGAAGAAGTCCACACAATGGGACCAGATTGAAAACGAGTCGCACTAGCTAAAGCATGAGCAACTTTATTCACTGATCTAGAGATAAACTGAATAGACACATTAATAAAGTGTCGTTGAAGTAATCGGCACTCCTACAGAACACAACCTGCATACGTACGATCCGGTAGAGAAGCCTTAAGCAAATTACAAATATTCTGACAATCCGAATATACCTTAGCTTGCATAATACCCTTCTCTTTAACCCATGACAATGCCTCCTTCACTGCAACTGCTTCAGCTAAATGAATATCATCCATGCATCAAATAGGGCTGTTTTTAGCCGCAATGTACTCCCCATCTGCAGATTGAAGAAACACGCCAAAGCAAGCTTCATGCGTTTCCATGAAGACAGCAGCATCCACATACACTCTGACCATATTTTCCGTAGGCCCCTGTACTGCCACAATATTAGAGGAATGAGAATTGCTACCAGTAACCATTTCCTTCATCGATTAGGTAGCCAAGGCTGGTTCCAAACATTAGTGTCCCTTCCATTGCCAATCCGCTTATAACTTCCCTGCTTCAACAACTGCTGCCCCGCAAGTATCGATCTCCAACAATAAGAGGGATTAGCACCAATACTAGCTTCTAAAAAACCAGAATGTGGGTAGTACCCTGCTTTGTATAGACGAGCAGCCAAGGAATGTGGTTGTGTCAATAATCTCCACCCCTGCTTAGCTAACAAAGCTATATTAAATGTGCTTAAATTCTTGAAGCCCATCCCACCAAACAACTTTAGAGAATTCTTGTGTCATACTTGTTTAGAACCGTGAGAATGGAACCAACACATGCTTCTCAAGCTCCCTCAGCGGTGGAAAGCTGTGATGATAACTTGACAAAAGGGGTTCAACTGCATGTGTCTACGAAATCAAGAATGAGAGTTGGGCGACTACCAGACCCAGTATGACCCGAGGGACCGATCATCTCCTGTTGGCAGAACATCACCGGTAAAAAAAGGTTAGTAAGTAAGAAAAGCTATAGGGCTAGCTCAGAAGAGACCAAACAGTTGCATTATTAAGCAAGATCTGAAGATTCTTAACACAATCATAATTGTCGGGTTTAGTGAATTTACACTTGAAATGCTTTTTGTGAAAATGCTGCTCTCAAAATCTCCTACACTAGAGAGAGTTGCTATTATGGAATATGTTGATATTGATATAGAAGATACCTTCGAAGATGTCAATAGTGGACGAAAGGAATTGTTTTGTTTTCGTCGCGCCTTATTTCCGAAAGCACAACTTGTTTGCACTGAAAATGACGATTCCGTGCTCGAACTATTTGATTTCATGTGGTTTTAACCTTGTTGCAGGAATTTAGTATGATGATGCTCCATGGGTTAAGTTTGGATGCAACCTAGAAATGTAATTAATGGTTGTGGTGGAAGTTTAAATCTTGTACCTAAGTATTATGTTGTAATTAAAGTATTTTGAATCTGCAAATAGTGGGCTCCAAGAATGTTCTTTTTTATTCTGTTAATTGTACATAGTAGGTTTTACCTATGTAGGGTGTATCTTATGACTTCATTCAGAACTACTCCAAGCATGTTTCAAACTCATTTGTCAATGTCTAGGATACCAAACTTGTTTAATAATATATACCGAAACAACTTTAGAAACAATACTAACAATAGTGAATTGAATTTGTGTATTTATATTAGTAAATTTATGAATTATGAATTATAAATTTATAAGTTTATAACATTATGATTTTAACTACTCTAACCGGTATGGTTAATTGTACTTCAAATTGAATTAACCATTAACTATAATTTAAAAAAATTCTTAATCATTAATCAAATCAAAATATTTCGATTAAAAATGACTAATTAAAAATTTTCAGTTTTATCGTTTAATTGTGTTTTTTCACCAAATTGTGTACACCCCTAATCAATGTCCAGAAACCTTGCTTATGAATTTCAAATATTCTCATGACCCAATTAACTTTTGTGCTTCAATTTCCCCAACTCAATTGGCTTTAGACTTGGAGTCCATTCCACCTACATATTTGGCAAATTACACAGTCCATAGTTGTGTAGACCATAGTCCAAAACGACGTCGGGTTGATGTTTAAAAAATTATGTTAGTCAATAACGACGTCTGTTTAGTCGTTATGATTTAGAAGATTTCAAATATTCTCATGAATTTCAAATATTCTCATGACCCAATTAACTCAGTTGCTTATTAAGTAAGATTTGAAGATTCTTAAAACAATCATAATTGTCGGGTTTAATGGATCTACAGTTGATTTTTTTTTTTTTTTTTTAAATTTTGCTCTCAAAATCTTCTATACTACAAAAGTACAAAGGCTTGTTATTATGGAATATGTTAATATTGATATAGATACCTTCGAAGATGTCAATTGCCTAAAGGAATTATTGTGTTTTTCTCATACATCTCTAAAAGCACAAATTATATGCATGAAAAATGACTTGTGAAATGTTCCCGTGCGGTTGAATGCTTCCCGTGCGGTTGTGCCGTTATTAATGTGCGTGAGATTTGTACTCAATGTGCGTGAGTGTTGTGTCTAATGTGCCTGAGATTTGTACTTAATGTGCGTGAATGTGTAAAATGCAGCAGAAAATATGGATATCAGCTTCTTCTTCCCCATCCCCAGTACCTGCACTCTGTGAGTTGCTTCAGAATAACTTCGATTATTGGGTTGCTCATAATGTGGTATGGAATATGCTGGCCTGTGCTTATTCGACATCTGAGATGGTTGCTGATGCTCTTTTTGTTCTATCCAAGATGAAAGATTTGAATCTTCAAGTTTCAATAACGACATATAATAGTGTGTTGCTCTGCTTTACTGATGTTTACAATGAAATAAAAGCTTCCCAAAGTGAATACACAAATTCTATCCTTATCAATGGTCTATGCAGACCGATCTTGGTGCGAGAATCTGGAACTTCTGTTGTTTGCTTCAATTCCAGATTGTTGAAAATTCTCTTATTACTCACACACATTAAGCACAAATCTCACGCATATTAAGCACAATACTCTGACACATTAAGTACAAAACTCACGCATATTAACATGACGCACATTAAGGACAAATCTCAAGCATATTGAGCATAACACTCACGCACATTAAGTATAAACCTCACGCACATTAATTCACCGCATGGGAAGCAACAAATGCACCTGATCCCTTCCCTATATATATATATATATATATATATATATATATATATATATATATATATATATGTAATTTTGGTTTGTACCAAAATAGGTTGGAATTAATTTTCTACAAATTAAAATCCATTTTCAAATATATATATATATATATATATATATATATATATATATATATATATATATATATATATATATATATATATATTGTGTATCGATTTATTCACCAATATATATATTGTGTATCGATTTATTCACCAATATCTAACAAAATGTAGGTCGTGTGAAAAAAAAATTGTGCGACCCACGTCTCTAAATTAACGGCGTTGTATCTTCTTAAATGAGAGACGATGTCGTTTTGGACTGTGGCCCACAGAGCTGTGTGGACAACAGTCCAAGCAATAACGATTGCACAGGTTTAAACCAAGACGAGAATTGAGGAGCAATCATCATTTGAACCCAACAAGATGAATAGCATTCCGGTTCCCTTCGGTTATCGTAACTGGCAAAGGCCCAAGCCAAACATCAGAGGATAGGGGTTCCGTAACCGGCAAGTGATTAAGTTGTACGAGTCAAGTGTTTCATGTAGAGAGAAGCTTACCTTTGTTTTGCAGTTGCTTGAAAAAATTCCTCCAACCTATGCAAGCTGAATATTGCGGCATCAGATGGTGTAAGGCACGAAACCTTTGGACTATAAATTTGGCAATCATATATGATTGTTTTCTTTTCAATTCCTTGTTAATTCATCACGACTGTGTTGTAGCTATGTTCTTGTGATATAACAATGGGGTACAAGACTTTTGAAGGATCTAAACACTTGCATTATTAAGTAAGCTTTGAAGATTCTTAACACAATCATAATTGTCGGGTTTAATGGATCTACAGTTGATTTTATTTTATTTTAAATTTTTTTGTATAAATTTTGCTCTCAAAATCTTCTATACTACAAAGGCTTGTTATTATGGAATATGTTAATACTGATATAGATACCTCTGAAGATGTCAATTGCCTAAAGGAATTGTTGTGTTTTTCTCGTACATCTCTAAAATAACAAATTGTATGCATGGGAAAATGACTCCGCGCTCAAATTATTTGATTACATATGCTTTTAACCTTGTAGGGATTTAGTATGATGAAACTTCATAGAATCATAGGTTCAATTTGGCTGTAAAGGATGCACCTTGTATAGACTTCTAAGAATGTTCTTCTTTTTGCTAATAATGTTAATTGTACAAGATTTTACATATGCTTATGTTTCTTATTATTTCATTTAGAACTACCTAAGCACATTTCAAACTCATTTGTGAATTGTACGATAACAAAGTTTAATAATTTTCAGAACAACTTTACAAATGACTTAACAATAGTAAATTTATATATTTACGATAGTGAATTTATGTATTTAGGGTGTGTGTGATTCATAGGTAAATGAAAATCAAAATCATAGTTAGTGTCTGGTTGACAATTTTATATAAAACCATGATTAGTAACATTTTGAAACTTAGAGAAGAAGAACTAAAAAGAATGAAGATGCATTTGCTAGTCCAAAGGCTATATTTTCATTTAAAAATGGAAGAATAACATGAAAGGACATTTTTGCCCTTCATTTACACGGTGCAAACTGAGCAAATTAATGGCTGGATCACGGTTGATAATATTTTAAAACTCGAAAGATCACCGTTGATAACATTTTGAAACTCGGAGGGAGGATCATGGATGGTCACTTTTAAAGTTTAGAACTATAAGTAGCAAAACCATCATATTCGGACGACCCCAGATAATATAAATAAATAAATATGTAAATATATATATAAGGTAAAATCTAGATACAAAAAATATAAGGTAAAATATCTAAAACTAAAATGAAATCCCTAGACTCTAGTTCAACACTCTGTCTCTCCACCGCGATTCTCCACTCTCCACTCAGCTCCACCGGCGGCCGGCCTTAATCTTCTCTGTCTGGCGTATGCTACTCTGCCCCGTTTCCCTTCGGCTTTCCTAACCCGCAAAGGCCCAGACCAAACATCAGAGGTGAGGGTTTCTGTCACTTTTCCCCAATCTCTGTTTTCTCCCCAACTTTTAGCTTCCTAGTTCCTAATTTCCTTTCTATTTACGAAATATGGAATCCTGCAGTTGAAGAACAGAACGATTTTAGGTTCCGATTTCGACCGACGCCTCATTGTTCTTTCAATTTAATGGCTCGGCGACTCAAACCCGTACCGGATGCAAGTACGGATTTAATAAGTGAGCTTCCGGTAGAGGTAATGAACATAATTTTGGGGCGTTTGTCCCCTCGAGACGCCGCCAGAACTGCTATGCTCTCAACGCACTGGAATGATGTTTGGTTGCAGCATGGGCGGCTTACGTTCAATAGGGAATTCTTCCAAAGTGTCGAACAGTGCTATGATGATGAAGGTAGAACCCTTGTGAACATAATCAATAATATCCTCTTTTTTCCGTTCTGGGCCGGTTAAGAAATTTACTCTACAGATTTCATGTGATGATCCTACGCCACAGCAGTCTGATTTTGATAAGTGGTGTCTTCTTCTGTCAAGAAATGGTGTGAGGAACTTAACATATCTTTAGCGAATAGTTATGTGGAGGAATATAAGCTGCCATTTTGTTTACTCTCTTGTAGGACAATTAAGCAACTGATAGTCTGTGGTCCCTTTATTGATTTGCCTGTAAATGCTTGTGGTATATTTTCCAATGTCACTTCATTAGCTTTCTACAATGTTGAATTTAACTGTAGTGGTAGTGGAATTGCCTCTAGTATTAGTATTCCTAAACTTGAGAAGCTGGCTTTCGGACGTTGTCGAGGGATCCATAAGTTTGAGATCAGTCCTCCAAAGCTTGAAATGTTGTCCGTTATTCATTTTATGGACGGGGTTGAGTCGAGATGGTTGGCGCCACATTTGAAAGCCATTAAGACTCTTTGGTTGTGTGGCTTTTCGTTGTCGGTGAGAATCTAACTCATTTTACTTTATGCAAATGCATGGATAGATATAATTCTTTATCTTTGGCTTGTTAATGTTCTTGTGGTGGCTAATTTTGTTTCTTTTTTTCCTATTTTTCAAGGGTATGGATGTATCTGTGTTTCCAACTGCAATAAATTTGCAAGTGATGAAGCTATATCAGTTAAGTTTTGGTTTTTGGAAGCACTGCGTCGTTGCAATGCAATTGCTTCAAAAATGCCCCAACCTATGTGAACTACGGATTATTGCAATTAAGGTAGAGTATATATTTGGTAATCTTGTATGATTCTTCTTGTTTTGATTTTTCAAATGTCTCATAGTTGTGCTTGTTTTTCATTTTTTCTTGAGTTATAGTCCCGTGGGAAGGATGACAAAGAAGCTTCAAGGCTTTTGGAGGATCCAGACAGTGGCTTTGTTATTCAGGAGCTGAAGATGCTTAAAACGATCAAGATTGAATTATTCAGTGATTTCGCACTCGAAATGCTTTTTATGAAAATGCTGCTCTCAAAATCCCCTGCGCTAGAGAGAGTTGTTATTGTGAAGTTTTGCGGTATGAATGCCTCCGAGGTGAGAAAAATCCAAAGGGAGTTGGAGTGCTTCCCTCGTGCATCTCCAAACGCACAAATTGTCTGTGCGGGCGATTACTATGCATCTATGCATGATGACTAGTTGGATACCCATGGTTTTACCCTTTTCGAACCTTAGTATGGTTAATCTCCATGGGTTCTATTTGGGTGCAGCTTAGAAATGTAAGCAAAGGTTGTGTTGGAAGTTGACATGTTTTCTAAGTTGTTCAACATGATCGATGTATTTGTAATCAGCAATCAGCGAGCATTGTGGGCAATTAAGAATGTTTCTAAATTTGCTTTTGTTAATAAATTACTTCAATTATGTTGTTTTTTTTTTTTTTTTTTTGTTTGTGCGTAAATTATTTCATCTAACAATGTTAAGTGAGGCATTTGATAGTCAGAAAAATTCCTTCCATAGATAAGCCAATTACTAATTTACTAGTCATTAAAGCATTTTCATATAAATGAGAGGTTCTCTAAGCATAACATCATCAAAAGAATGATTAATAGATCAAAACATAATGAAGATGCAACTTCTCCCGTGTAAGGCGGAAGCATGTAATAAAAACAAATGTGCATTTTATCAACTTCTTTTTGCGTGTCAGAACGTTACAAGTTATCAATGTCATACAATGGACTATTATTATCCTCCATAGCCGGATGTGCCTTGTTATCATTAAGACTCAAATTTCCGAATAGGTCCATTGTGCTACATACCCAACAAATGGGCACATGTATTTGAGTTGTTTAAGACTGGACCAAATATCTCTCAATCCAGTGGACAATACAACATTCTAGCATCTTTTGACAACAATTCCAAAATATTTTCAAGAATCTCTATCAGAAGTTCACTAATTCTATCTCTCTCCGACATAATTTAGATAACTCTAACATATATGCTAATTAAAGAGCAAATACATTAAAATTAAAACATAATCTTTAAATTGGTGGACATGGTAATAGTAGTTAAGTAAAATAGAAATAAGAGCAATAACTTACCAACTACCATGTAGTATGATGACATCTCAGTTATCATTCTAAATGGATGATCATAGGTTCAAATCTCGGTGATAGGGTCTTAGATTCTTAATACTACCTTGTAAGAAATTATGAGTATTTAACAAAAAAAAGAAAAAACAATAACTCAAAATCTGAATTGAAATTATATTGCTTAAATACTAAATTTCTAAAATATGAGTTCAAAACCAACAAATGAGTAGAAAGTTAGCATTCAAATTGTGTAAACCCTATCATTCAATCCCAATATGTAAAACTCTAAACTTTTTTGCATTATAAAATGACAATATTTATGTTATTTTAGTACATTTTAGTACTATTGACTCTATTACAAGGTAATATATATTCTATACTTTCTTTATTTATTGCAGTTCAAAGAGTCAATACCCCACTGAGATTTGATCCTGTGACTTTCTCTCAAGGAGAGGATGTGACAATATTTATGGTATTTTAGTTCATTAGAAAACTAAAATAAATAAAAAGAATCACTGTACAAAAATCTAAATCTTAATATAATATGATGGCTTGCACTTTATTTGGAAGCAATTAATTAAGGTTCTTTGCTTGGATTACCGCAGCTTGTTCTTGGTGAGAATCGCTCTTCCTTCATATAGTATTCAGAGATTAAATACTCATTTCCTTCTGGTTTGTTAGAATTTTGGCTCATAATTTTTAAAATAGTGTGTTGCGAATTGAAGGATTTAGTGGCGTTTTTTTACAACCACAAGTATTAGTGGGAAACTTATTTTGCGACAGTCTTTGACTGCATTTAGTGACGATTCATCATGAACCACAACTAATATTTACTTAGGCTATGTTTGGCAAACCTAGCTGAAAAGCTATAAGCTAGGAGCTGAAAGCTGAAAAGCTATAAGCTTGGAGCTGAAAGCTGAAAATTAAAGGAGCTGAAAGCTGAAAAGCTATAAGCTTGGAGCTAAAAACTGAAGAGCTGTTAAGCTAGCGGTTATGACTGAAAGTGTTTGGTAAAATTAGCTTTTTGATAAGTTGGTAAATGTAAAAAGACTAAAAAGGGCATCTTCATAAAACTTAAATTAGTTTGTTTACGTATTAAAATTTAACATTTTGTCTTTAAAGAAAAAACATTTTGAAATAAAACTATTAGCATAATCATGATCTAACATCTCATAATGAAGTAGCGATATTGTTGCAAATCTCATAATAATAATAATAATAATAATGATGATGATGATGATGATGATGATGATGATGATGATGATATTATTATTATTATTATTATTATTATTATTATTATTATTATTATTATTATTTGTGGTGAAAGTTGTGGATAAAGGAGAAGAGAAAATGGTTTTAATTGGGAAGGGTAAATTATGTCATTTCTTTAAAATAATAAGGAAAAAGATGGAAAAAAAAAATTAGGAAACTAGGAGCTTATTTTGAAACGCTACCTAAGGTAGCGTTCCAAAATAAGCTCTTATTTTAAGCTAGGAGCTTATTTTGAGAACATTACCAAACAGAGCTTATAGTTTATTAGTAGTTTAAAATAAGCTATAAATTCCTATATAAGCTCTGCCAAACAGAGCCTTAATATTAACCTTAAACATCAATGACGGTTAAAAAGTGTCGCTTGTAAAAAAAATACTTTCAGATTTTAGTGTTATTAGTAGCGATTTTATAACTATTGCTAAAATATATTTTCATTTTTTTCTTACTATTTTCTTATTTAAAAATTATTGATCATAATTGCTACTAAATTTTGTATAGTATTTTTTGTTATATATTTTTGTAATTGTCATCAAATTACTTTTTGACGTAAATCTTCCAAACACAAATAAATACACGTTTAATTTAAAAAAACCAATGTAACTTATATTGCCAAAGACTAATATTTAACGATAATCAAGGAAGTTTATATATTAAAAAAAAATTTCACTTTTGGTTTTATGACTATTGAGATCTTGTTAATTTCAATCCACAACTTTAAAAACTAACAATTTAGTACCCTAACTATGCAATTTTTAACATATTTGATCCACCAAGCCAAATTTCACCGGAAAGTTGTAATCCATTTTAAATTATATAATAATAGGGTAAAATCGATCATTCTAAGTTTTAAAAATAGGAAAGTTGAGACTTGAGCTAGCTATTAAACCCATTTTTTGTCTCTGCATTCTGGAAGAAGGAATAGTTACGCAGTACGCACAACGCAGAGCAAAGCAACGAGGAAGAGAAGAAGGAAGAGAAAGAGGAAGACACACACACCATTCTCCATCTACTCGTCCTGGGTATGACTAATTCCTATTTGTCTTGTTCTTCTAACGATGGTAGTGTTTACTATGGATTTGGAGAAAGGTTTTCAATTATCCACTGTAGATGTGGTGAGCAACTGGAAATTCAAACTTCATGGATAAATGAAAATCAAGTTGTAGATTTTGACAATGCTCTGGTGGTATTGTAAGTTTTTTTTTTTTTTAATAAAAACCATTAAACTTTATTAAAAATTTTTTTATTACACAATATTTTAGTACTTTTTAATATTTCTTTTTAAATTACAATATTCTTTATTATAGATATTTCATTTGTAAAATAAAAAATTTGATTTTAACATGTTTGTGTAGGGAAAATATGAACAATGTACCACAATTGAAGATGACTTATATTTAAGGAAGAAGGTATCAATGATCTATTTTGCATATGAAATGCTAAAATTGAAAAGTCATAAACAATAAAGATAATAAAATTATAAAATATCGATGTACTAAGTAAAATTTGAATAGAGTAATAATTTGCTAGATGGGTTCTAAACAATCAAGTCACCGCTTCGGAAAGCTTCCAAAGATTTATTGATGCTGCCGAAAAGGGGGAAAGACTTGCAAGTCATTTTGTACCCGCATCCTATGCACCATAGCCGAGAGGACCAATTGTTGAGCTCATTCGGCCAACAACATCTAGAGGAGCATCTCGAGGAGAATCTAGTAGAGGTCGTGGTGGAAGCATGACCGACTATCTCATGGGTACACATGCTAGTTCAAGCTTAACCCCACAAGGTGTTTCACAGTCCACGCCAATTGCACCACTGCCGAAACCAATTGCAACTAAGATGCAAAAGTTGCAAGAGCTACAAACCGAGTTTGGATATCGAAGTGAGCAAATGTGTGATGGCCGATCCTTTGATGAGTGCATTGTAACATTTTCCTAATTACATTATTATAATATTAAGTCAACTTTATAATAATTAAGGTAATATGTTATGTGGTGCAATTCTTCCATACATACTCCTATCAATTAAGGTAATATTTGATTGTAAAAGATAAGGAGTGTGATTAGGAAGGGATTCAGTTACCATATTGATGGCATATGGTTATTATATAAAGAGTCCTTAATAGTCCTCTCACTACTTAACATTCATTCCTCATACACCATCCAGAGAGGGTTGAGAAAGTGAGAGAAACATATACTGTTACTCTGCCGCAGCAGTCCCGTGTCTATACAACCTTCATCAATCGGAAGCTATGGCTGGAGGTTAGTACTTAGTACTTAAATAAAGATCCTGTCACGTATTTAAGTTCCTACGTGATTAATATGCTTACAGTTGGTATCAGTTGCCTGTATAATCTCTGCCTAGCTTAAGTGTTTTTTGATTGCATATGTTAGATATTCATACTTGAATAATTATATGCAATTGTTTGGACTGCTGAAATTTTTTTTTTCCGCATTAAGTATCTTTTATTTTATGTTTAAATCAATTGGATAAAGGCTATTTTACGGAAGATTAAATATAAATACAAATAAAAATGGTTGGATTTTTATTTTTTTTCTTGCTGTCTTCCTGGTGGTTCGGCCAGATAAAGAAAGAAGAAGATGATGAAGAACTTTGGCTGGGTCTGGCCCAATTTGGGCAGACCTGGATTAAAAAAAAAAAAAGGCATGTTTGGTTTGGGCTTGCTTAAGTATTATTTGTTCATCATATTTAGACTTCTTCTTATTAAAATTATCCAATTGATTTTGCCTAAAGTCAATATTAAATTATTATTCATTTTTTTGAACAAATTATTAAGTGTTAAATTTGTTTGAATATTAATTTAATATTGAATTTTCAGATTTAAATTGTATTAAGTGTTACAATTTATTTATGGAGTATGAGTAATTGATATGCATAATCTAAGCATGCCTTATATGTTTATTGCCATAACTATTTTACTGTTATAATTATGTCTTTAGAAATGCATGCTCTTTTAAGGACTAATTTAGAGCCTTTTAGGTATGATTTAAATGCCTTTTAAGCATGATTTGGTGCCTTTTAGGTAAATTAGTGCC